CACACCTATATACATATATAAAATTAAGATAAAGATCCCCCATATAGCCTTAACAGACTGTAGGGGCAAGTGCTGTTAGCGAGCACCTATAAAGGCCGGAACGGTACGTGAGGGGGTGGGTGGCCAGCACCACGCCCGGCCGCCTTTGTTTCCCAAGTGGCGATGCTTACACACCGCACCAGGTACTCATTTGAGGCCGAGTCGACCTAGGGGAGGCCCAGGACCGGTTCAGATAATCGTCACTGGTGTTGGCCGTGAGCGGGAATCGAACCCGGGTCGCCGGGTTCATAGCGCAGCGCGCTAACCGCTACACCACCTCTCCCCACATACACATATATACACACACACATGCACACACAATTATACATTAAATTCGCTAGCATAATATGAACATTAATTTACGGACAACGTCAAATTGAACCTTAGGCATCGAAGTATAAAATACACATATATATTCCGCTTTATACGTACCCACAACCGTAAGGACATAAATGTATCAAACATTATAAAATAACTGCCCTTGTATGATGATTTTCCTATTAATAAAACAGTGGAGGGGGCCCCCCCCCCCCAATTGGCGCTTTTTATCGGCTTTGTCGTCGCACTCCCGCCAAGGGAGGCGGATTTTCTCGACGAGCCGTCGAGAAAATCTCGTGTGTGCGCGCGACGCCAATCACACTGCGCTGCGGTATAAAACGAGGACTATTTTGATTCTCAGATTTCTCGAGACTCGGCTACGATTGCGCGCCAATGTTTAGCTCTCTTTAGCGCCTTCTAGAACATCCCGAGAAATCGCAATGAGTCACTCAGCTCTCTAGCCCCTAATAGAACATCGTCAAAATGTACATGTGTGTGTGTGTGTAGGTGTCTTACGTGAGTACATGTGTGTGTGTGTAGGTGTCTTACGTGAGTACATGTGTGTGTGTGTGAATGTTGGTGCAGCGGATTGCGAACCGCGCTATGCACCCGGCGATCAGAGTTCGATTCCCGTTCACGGTCAACACCAGTACCGGTTATTTAGATCTCTGTGCGAGTCTGTGGGTCTCTGTGTGAGTCTGTGGGTCTCTGTGTGAGTCTGTGGGTCTCTGTGCGAGTCTGTGGGTCTCTGTGCGGGTCTGTGGGTCTCTGTGCGAGTCTGTGGGTCTCTGTGCGAGTCTGTGGGTCTCTGTGCGAGTCTGTGGGTCTCTGTGCGAGTCTGTGGGTCTCTGTGCGAGTCTGTGGGTCTCTGTGCGAGTCTGTGGGTCTCTGTGCGGGTCTGTGGGTCTCTGTGCGAGCCTGTGGGTCTCTGTGCGAGTCTGTGGGTCTCTGTGCGAGTCTGTGGGTCTCTGTGCGAGTCTGTGGGTCTCTGTGCGAGTCTGTGGGTCTCTGTGTGAGTCTGTGGGTCATTGTGCGAGTCTGTGGGTCTCTGTGTTAGTCTATGGGTCTCTGTGCGAGTCTGTGGGTCTCTGTGCGAGTCTGTGGGTCTCTGTGCGAGTCTGTGGGTCTCTGTGCGAGTCTGTGGGTCTCTGTGCGAGTCTGTGGGTCTCTGTGTGAGTCTGTGGGTCTCTGTGCGAGTCTGTGGGTCTCTGTGCGAGTCTGTGGGTCTCTGTGCGAGTCTGTGGGTCTCTGTGCGAGTCTGTGGGTCTCCGTGCGAGTCTGTGGGTCTCTGTGTGAGTCTGTGGGTCTCTGTGCGAGTCTGTGGGTCTCTGTGCGAGTCTGTGGGTCTCTGTGTGAGTCTGTGGGTCTCTGTGCGAGTCTATGGGTCTCTGTGTGAGTCTGTGGGTCTCTGTGCGAGTCTGTGGGTCTCTGTCCGCGTTCTGAGTCTCTACGAGTACTTAACGCTTTTTTAAACACGACAACTGAAATAACCCAGGCAGGATAGTAGTGGAGCGTTACGCTTCGTCAGACGCTTGGGGCGATGGTGGTGGTGGTTGTGTTGAAAAGTTAAAGAGTTTCACAGGAAACAAAAACTTTAACAGCTACTGGACCGTAATCCAGCCCCGCCTGTCAGCGCTTTGCGTATCCCCCCCGAGTGCGTTCACGTTTCCATTGCGTTTACTCACACACACACCACTTTATATACACACACCACACTTTACACACACACACACACACCGCACTTTATATACATACACACCACACTTTATATAAACACACATCACACTTTACACACACATCACACTTTACACACATACACACACACACCACACTTTACATACATACACACACACCACACTTTACATACATACACACACACACCACACTTTACATACCTACACACACACACCACACTTTACATACATACACACACACACCACACTTTACATACACACACACCACACTTTACATACACACGCACACACCACACTTTACATACACACGCACACACCACACTTTACATACACACACACCACACACCACACTTTACATACACACACACACACACCACACTTTACATACACACACACCACACTTTACATACACACACACACCACACTTTACATACACACACACACCACACTTTACATACACACGCACCCCACAATTTACACACGCACACACCACACTTTACATACACACGCACACACCACACTTTACATACACACGCACACACCACACTTTACATACACACGCACACACCACACACCACACTTTACATACACACGCACACACCACACTTTACACACACACACACACCACACTTTACACACACACACACACACCACACTTTACATACATACACGCACACCACACTTTACACACACACACACACACCACACTTTACACACACACACACACACACCACACTTTACATACATACACGCACACACCACACTTTACACACACACACCACACTTTACACACTTTACACACACACACCACACTTTACACACACACACACACACCACACTTTACATACATACACGCACACACCACACTTTACACACACACACACACACACACACACACCACACTTTACACACACACACACACACACCACACTTTACATACACACACACACCACACTTTACATACACACACACCACACTTTACATACACACACACACCACACTTTACATACACACACACACCACACTTTACACACGCACACACCACACTTTACACACACACCACACTTTACATACACACACACACACCATACTTTACATACACACACACCACACTTTACATACGCACACACCACACTTTACACACACACACACCACACTTTACACACACACCACTTTACACACACACCACTTTACACACACACACACACACCATACTTTACATACACACACACACACCATACTTTACATACACACACACACACCATACTTTACATACACACACACACACCATACTTTACATACACACACACACACACACCACACTTTACATACATACACACACACACACCACACTTTACATACACACACACACACCACACTTTACACACACACCACACTTTACACACACACACCACACTTTACACACACACACCACACTTTACATACACACACACACACCACACTTTACATACACACACACACACCACACTTTACACACACACCACACTTTACACACACACACCACTTTACATACATACACACACACACCACACTTTACATAAATACACACACACCACACTTTACACACACACCACACTTTACATACATACACACACCACACTTTACATAAATACACACACACCACACTTTACATACATACACACACACACCACACTTTATAAACACACACACCATACTTCCACACTTTATATACACACACACACACCATATTTTACATACACACACCACCCTTTATACATACACACCCCACTTGGCAAACACCACGCCCGGCCGCCTTTGTCTCCCCAGTGGTGATGGGTTTTTTTACACATCCGGTACTCGTTTGAGGCCGAGTCGACCTAGGGGAGGGGAGATCTATGACCGGGTCAGATAATCGTCAACGTCGTGGGTGGCTGTGAGCTAAAATCGCTACGCTACCGCTCCCCACAACAACAATAACAACAATAACAACAACAACAACAACAGGTTCGTCACGAAGTGACGTGGACGCCACCAAAGCGCTTGTGCCAGGCTAGGTGCACTATGAGGCCGTCACGGGCAGTGTGGGAGGCTGGCTGCTGGCAGGAGGAGCAGGTCACGGGGACAGACCCAGGTGCCATGGGTTGACTGCTGTGCCAGGCTAGGTGCAGGAGGTCACGAGAATAGACCTCGGTACACACCATGGCTTGACTGACAGATCACTCGGTAAAGTGCTTTCCATACTCACAAAGACAAAGATCCCCCTTATAGCCTTGCGCTAATGTTGAGGCAAGTGCTGTTCGCGAGCAGCATCTAAGAAAGTATGTTGAACTTCTTTCGCGCCGTACTAGCCGACCGTGCTAATCGCAGGTGGCGTTTGAAGGACACCAAACTAAACACACCGTACAGCAGATCTAGAGACGGCACTTTCGAACGTAAAAGACAGAGATAAATATCCCCCGTATAGACTTAACAGACGGTTGGGGCAAGTGCTGTTAGCGCGCGCAAACAAAACACAAAGACCCCCCCCCCCCCCATAGCCCTAACAGACTGTTGAGGCCACGCACAAAGACAAAGATCCCCCGTATAGCCTGTAACAAACTGTAGGGGCAAATGCTGTTAGCGAGCACCTATTAAGGCCGGCACGGCACACGAGGAGGTGGGTGGTCAACACCACGCCCGGCCGCCTTTGTCTCCCCAGTGGCGATGTTCACACACCGCAATAGTTACTCATTTGAGGCCGAGTCGACCTAGGGGAGGCCCAGGACCGGTTCAGATAATCCGTCACCGGTATTGGCCGTGAGCGGGAATTGAACCCGGATCGCCGGGTTCGTAGCGCAGCGCGCTAACTGCTACACCACCGCTCACACACACAGACACACACACACACAAACACACACACAAACACACACGTACATACGAGTACATGTAAACACAAGGAATCCCACATGCATGTGGCTCCCCACTCACCGTTGAGCCCAGACGTCTGATAGTGCTGGGTCAGACCATGGAGGCGTCTTTGACCCAAATCCATGCCGCTCACTTGATTCTCAATCGCTCCGCTCACCAACGCGGCACCACCAGCACCACCACCTCCTCCTCCTCCACCACCACCACCACCTCCACCACCACCACCAACAACAGCACCACCACCAGCAGCAGCAGCAACAGCAGCCGCGCCAGCTCCCACGGGTAGATACATACTGATCATCTCCCCGAGGTCACCCGGACACGCCTGTCCTGCCGCCATAGCACTCCCTAGCAGCGAGCGCTGTTGCTGCTGCTGCTGTTGATGCTGTTGATGCTGCTGCTGCTGATGGTGTTGCTGGTGTTGCTGATGCTGCTGCTGCTGCTGGTGGTGGTGCTGGTGGTGCTGGTGGTGGACGGGTGTTGACGAAGGGCTCGACTCCGACTTAATGCCGCTAACGCCGCCACCGCCCACGCTCGAAGCCGGCACCGACGATGCTCCCGAAGACGCCGCCGCTTGTGCCGCCGCTTGCGCAGCCGCCGAAGGTGTCGATCCCGCAGAAGAGGACGACGACGACGAAGACGACGACGACGACGAAGATGACGAAGAGGAGGACGATGCCGCAGCAGCAGCCGCGGCCGCGACCGCCGCAACAGCCGACGCCGCGCCGCTTGCTCCACCACCTCCACCACCTCCTCCACCACCACCTCCACCGCCTCCCAGCGTGGCCGTCTGGCCGTAAGCCGCTGCCGCAGCGCTCATCCCGTACGCGGCCGCTACGGCGGCCCCGTTCATGTAGCCGTGGGCTGCCGCTGCAGCCGCGGCCACGGCGTTGGCGTGGTGCGAATGTCCGGCGTGGTGCGAGTGGCCGTGGTGATGGTGGTGGTACGGGAGTCCGGCCATCTCGTAGCGCGACGGGTGATGAGGGTGCGCAGGGTGATGGGGGTGCGCAGGGTGATGTGGGTGAGCCGGGTGATGCAGAGGCGACTGGTGGTGGTGGTGGTGGTGCGCCGGGTGATGCGGATGCCCGGGGTGGTGGTGCGGGTGGTGGCCCATGGTCTGCCCGACGGGGCTGTGCGCACCACCAACGCTGCCGTGGCTGTAGCCGGCGGCCGCCGCCACGCTCAGCTGATCCTGCATGAGAGTTGCCGCATAGCCGCTACCGGGCCAGCCATTGACAGCAGCCTGGTACGCGGCACCGTCCACCATGGAGCTGCGATGCGACGACATGCCCGAGCCGGAACCCACGGGGCTATTGCTGTTCACCGACACGCCGCCCGGCCCCAGGAGACCCGCGGGCAGCGAGTATTTGTCCTTTTTCAGGAGGGTTTTGGTCTTGCGGCGTGGTCTGTACTTGTAGTCGGGGTGTTCTTTCATGTGCAGGGCGCGCAGACGCTTCGCCTCGTCGATGAACGGCCTCTTCTCCGCCTCGGTGAGGAGCTTCCACTCGGCGCCGAGACGCTTGGAGATTTCGGAGTTGTGCATCTTGGGGTTTTCTTGGGCCATCTTTCTCCGTTGGCCTCTCGACCACACCATGAAGGCGTTCATGGGCCTCTTGACTCGGTCGTTGCAAAGTTGCTGGCTCTGCTGCCCGCCAACTTTGCCGCCTTGTCCACCACCACCTCCACCACCACCTCCTCCACCACCACCAACGCCACCTCCTCCGATGATGAGAGAGGAGTTCGCGGACAGACCGCCATGAGTTTGAGCCACATGCTGTTTGAGGTCGCTCTCGAGCATGCTGTACATCATCTTGGCGACGGGGCGAAGTCGTTTAAAACTCGCTAGAATGTCTACTTGTGAAGACGATGACCACGATGCTGCTGCTGCTGCTGCTGTTGTTGTTGTGTGGGCGATGGTTTCTTTCTTGCCGAGGCCTTCGAAGAGAGCGGTTCGATTCGGGAGGTAGGGCGTGAAGAGAAAAGCGTGGTTCGTTCGAACACGATGGTGATCGCCGTCTGTGTTAAAGAGTTCCTCCAACGCACAGCCGATCTGGCAAAGGTGACGCTGCTGTTGCTGCTGCTACTGTTGCTGCTGCTGCTGTTGTTGCTGCTACTGCTGCTGCTACTACTGCTGCTGTTGCTGCTGCGGCTGCTACTGATGTTGCTGCTGCTGCTGCTGCTGTTGCTGCTGCTGCTGCTGTTGCTGCTGCTACTACTGCTGTTGCTGCTGTTGTGTTTGTAGCTGCCCTAAACGATAGCTACAGTCGCAAGCCGTTTATCCGTGAACCTTCCTCCGGAAAAACTCAAAAGTCATTCAAAATAAATCGGAGTATTTTGGGAACTCCTCGCGATCGATAAACGAGGACCACCTAAAATAATCGGGAGACGATTTGTGACCGGTTATTTTTGTTGTTTTTCTACTCCGACTAACTAACTACCTCCTGACACGGAACATTCGTCGATTCTGAACGAGCGCGAACTACAGTAGAATCTGCAAACAACAACAGCAGCAATAACAAAACGAGAGTGGGAGATAAAGCGACTCCTGTAGTTAGGCGAAATTAATGTATTCTTTTGAAACAGACTCCACGTTCTTCCTTTTGTTTTGCTATTCTGGGGGGCGAAATTACTACCCAGTCTCTCCCCTCCCCCCCCCAACACACCACACACACACACAACCGCTCACTCCCTCCACTAATAAATATAATTACTCGTATTATTATCCAAATCTTCAATAGCTTCCACAGCAATGCGATTCTATATATCTATATATCCGTCAAGTTTCAGCCCGTGAGCGAATGGCGACAAATACACCGACTAAAGATTCCGTACAGCAACACCAACGAGAGCGAGAGAGAGAGAAATAAAAAAGCCAGAATCGACTCAAATCTACTTCTACGTTGCCAACTTACGCATCACTACCGCCTTTGTAAACTAACAAACTCGACTACCGTGCAAGCGACTTCCTTCTGCCATATAACTAAGGCGAGAGGAGATATGCAACTCTCCTCCAACCTCCTATGAATACACGGAGAGAGAGAGAGCGAGCGAGAGAGTGAGTGTGCGCGCGTGTGTGTGTGTGTGCGTGCGCGCGCGAGTGAGTGGGTGAATGAATGGGGACAGAGCCTGGCATAGCGAGGAGTTGAAGGCAAGTCGGAATTTTTTTTTACACAAAATAATTAAATAACTAAGTTGCCTCGGTGGGGGGTTGGGTTGGGGTTGGTGGGTGGGTGGGGGTGGGTAGGGTTTGTGGGTGGGTAGGGGTGAAGAGAATGAGCGAGAGAGAGGGGGGGGGATGGGAGGATAGGTGGGACGGTGGGTGGGGTTGGTGGGTGGGGGTGGAGAGAATGAGCGAGACAGGAGGGGGGGGATGGATGGGAGGATAGGTGGGACGGTGGGTTGGGTTGCGTTGCGTTGGATGCGTGGTTGGTCTGTTACAACGTCAAGGGACCGCCCATCATCTCAGTGAGCCCGTGGTTGGAGTCTGTCAAACAGGTTCGCTTGCCTGTGCGTTTGGGGAGGAGGAGGAGGAGGAGGTGGAGGAGGTAGCGTGTGACGTCACCGCCTCCACCCTCCTTGCCCCCCTCCCCCCTCAGCCACAGTGCCAATGGCGAGCGAGGCGAGCGGTGGAGGTGAGCGATGGTTTGGGGAGTGAATTTAAGGATGGGGAGGCAAGCAGGTGTGTGGGGGAGAGCGTGCGCGCGTGTGTGTATGTATGTATGTGTGTGCGTGTGTATGTATGTATGTGTGTGCGTGTGTATGTGTGTATATGTGTGTGTGTCTATGTGTGTGTGTGGATGTGTCTATGTGTGTGTGTGTCTATGTATGTGTGTCTATGTGTGTGTGTGTATGTGTGTGTGCTCGCTAACAGCACTTGCCCCTACAGTCTGTTAAGGCTATACGGGGGATCTTTGTGTATGTGTGTGCGTGTGTGTGTGTGTGCGTGTATGTGTGTGCGTGTATGCAAGGGTGTTTGTGTATGTGTGTGTGTGCGCATGTGTGTATGTGTGTGTGTCTATGTGTGTGTGTCTATGCTATGTGTGTGTGTCTATGTGTGTGTGTCTATGCTATGTGTGTGTGTCTATGCTGTGTGTGTGTGTCTATGCTATGTGTGTGTGTCTATGCTATGTGTGTGTGTGTGTATATATGTATGTGTCTATGTGTGCGTGTGTCTATGTGTGTGTGTCTATGTGTGTGTGTCTATGTGTGTGTGTGTCTATGTGTGTGTGTATATATGTATGTGTCTATGTGTGTGTGTTTATGTGTGTATCTGTGTGTTTATGTGTGTGTCTATGTGTGTCTGTGTGTATATGTGTGTTTGTATGTGTGTGTATGTGTGTATGTGTGTCTATACGTGCGCGTGAATGTGTGTATATGTGTGTGTCTATGTGTGTGTCTATGTGTGTGTCTATGTCTGTGTGTGTGTCTATGTGTTAGGTCAACTCAGCCTCAAATGAGTACCTGGTGCGGTGTGTAAACATCGCCACTGGGGAGACAAAGGCGGTCGGGCGTGGTGCTGGCAACCCACCCCCTTCATAGGTCCTGCTCGCAAACAGCACTTGCCCTCCCCAGCAGTCCTGTTGAACGCTATACGGGGGATCTTTGTCTTTGTGTGGGTGGGTGTGTGTGTGTTTGTACGGTTGTATAGGTGGGTGGGTGTGTGTGTATGTGGGCGGATGTGTGTGCGTGCGTGTGTAAAGCGCGCATGTGTGTGTGTGTGTGTTTCCGCGTGAGTGTGTTGTGCGTGCATGTAATGGTGTGTGCATATAGTGTGCAGCATCGTGTGTGTACACACATGAGTGTATACGCTTGGTTAGGTGTGTATATCGTGTGTATGCGCGTTTATGTCTACGAATGTGTGTTAAATAGTGAGTGTGCGCGTATGTAGTTATGTATATTTGTGTGTATATCTGTATGATGCGGTTGTACGTATGTGTGTACGGGGAGCGGTAGTTTGTGTGTGTATGTGTGTCTGTGTGTGTGTATGTGTGTCTGTGTGTGTGTATGTATGTCTGTGTGTGTATGTGTGAATGTGTGTATGTGTGTGTGTATGTGCCCCACATCCGGCAACCCGAGTTCAATTCCCGCTCACGGCCAACACCGGTGACGATTATCTGAGCCGGTCCTGGGCCTCCCCTAGGTCGACTCAGCCTCAAATGAGTACCTGGTGCGGTGCGTAAAAACATCGTCACTAGGGAGACAAAGGCGGTCGGGCGTGGTGCTGGCCATCCACCCCCTCGTGTGCCGTTCCGGCCTTAATCGGCGCTAACTAACAGCACTTGCCCCAACAGTCTGTTGAGGCTATACGGAGGATCTTTATCTTCATGTGTATGTGTGTATATGTGTGTGAGTGTGCGTATGTGTGTATGTGTGTGAGTGCTTATGTGTGTGAGAGTGTGTGTGTATGTGCATGTGTGTGAGTGTGTGTGTGCGCGTGTGTGCATGTGTGTGTGCGTGTGCGTTACCCCAACAGTCAGTTGTTGAAGGCGATACGGGGGATCTTTATCGTTATGTGTGTATATGTGTGTGAGTGTGCGTATGTGTGTATGTGTGTGTGTATGTATATGTGTGCGTGTGTATGTGTGTGTGTGAGTGTGAGCGTGTGAGTGTGTATGTGTGAGCGTGTGAGTGTGTGTATGTGTGTGTATGTGTGTATGTGTGTGAGTGTGTATGTGTGTGCGTGTGTATGTGTGTGTGAATGTGTGTGAGTATGTGTATGTGTGTGTATGTGTGTATGTGTCTGCGTGTATGTGTGTGTATGTGTGTGCGTGTGCGTTACCCCAACAGTCAGTTGTTGAAGGCGACACTGGAATGGAGAGCTGTCTTCGTTATCGCTTTATATATATGTGTGTGCATGCGCATATGGTTCCCGGTGAAAAAATATTAGTTCTCTTGGTGCGTGACCTCGTTCCTTTACATTTGTGTACGCGCGCGCGCGTGTGTGTGTGTGTGTGCAGCATGACTGGGGAGACAAAGGCGGCCGGGCGGGGGATGCTATCACCGCTGCATCCCCCCCCCCCACGGATGCTGAGGTGTTCACGTCTGGATAGGTGCTCGCAGACCGGCACTTGCAATGAGCGCGTGCGGGACGTGGACACTTTCTCGTGTCCACTTCGAACGTACGTTCATCGGAGGCGCGTGCACATCGATGCGTATCGGTGATCGAATATCTGAAACGAGTGCCTGGTGCGGTGTGGGAACATCGTCACTAGGGAGACAAAGGCGGTCGGGCGTGGTGGTGCTGGCCACCCATCGCCATGCGAAACGTTCCGGTTTTCATCGGTGCTCGCTAACAGCACTTGTCCCCAACAAAGTCTGCAGGAGGCTATACGGGGGCTCTTTGTCTTTGTATTGCGGGGAGCTGTAGTGTAGCGGCTTAACGCACTGCGCTGCTAAACCCGGCACTGGGGAGACAAAGGCGGCCGGGCGTGGTGCTGGTCACCCACCCCCTCGTGTGCCGTGCCGGCCTTCATAGGTGCTGCTCGCTAACAGCACTTGCCCCAACAGTCTTAAAAGCTATCCGGGGCATCTTTGTCTTATTGACGTGTGTGTGTGTAATTGCATTGTGGACGTGTGGATAATTGTACTTGAATGTATGGACGTATCTATACACTGACACGCACATATACACATATACATACGTAAAAAGACAAAGCTCCGTCTATAGCCTTAACAGACTGTTGGGGCAAGTGCAGTGAGCGAGCAACTATGAAGACCGGCACGGCACACGAGGGGGTGGGTGGCTAGCACTACGCCCGACCGCCTTTGTCTCCCCAGTGGCGATGTCTACACACCGCACCAGGTACTCATTTGAGGTACAGATAATCGTCACCGGTGTTGGCCGAATTTCTTGAATTCGCCCGGTTCGTAGCGCAGCGTAGCGCTAACCACTGCGCCACCGCTCCCTCCTCACTCACTCACTCCACCACGCGCTCACAACTCTCCTGAACAGGGCGAGAGAACGTATAAACACCGCGTCGGGATCGAACCCAGGTTACCTTGCTGCTGTTAGGCACCGGTGTTACACCTCCATGTCACGTGTGCACACTCGCCAATGTTGGCCACGCGAAACGAACTCGGCCGCAGCGCGCTAACCACTGCGCCACCGCTCCCCAACAAACGCGCGCGCGCGCGAATTCTAGTGGAGCGGTGGCGCAGTGGTTAGCGCGAGTTCTATTCGCGCTCGCGGCCAACAGCAGGTGACGATTATTGCGGAATCGGTCCTGGGCCGACTTTAAATGAGTGAGCATCGACTACTAGGGAGACAAAGGCGGCCGGGCGTAGTGCTGGCCACCCACCACCCCCTCATGTGCCGTTCCGACCTTCATAGTTGCTCGCTCACAGCACTTGCCCCAACAGTCTGTTAAGGCTATATGGGGGATCTTTGTTTGTTTTCACCACCTTTGGAATGTCGCGCGCGTGTAACGTGGGCGAGCGGTGGCGCAGTGGTTAGCGCACCGCGCTCCCTCATCTAAGTTCGACACCCCGCGTGAACATCGGCACTGGGGAGACAAAGGCGGCCGTGGAAGGGGTACAGGACCGCACCTTCCCAGCGTGTCATCGCTCGCACCACTTGCCCCAGACTGTGCTCAGGGCTACACGGGTGATCTTTGTGCCATGCTAGGTGCACGCATATATACACGTAGACAAAGATCACCCGTGTAGCCTTAACAGACTGTTGGGGCAAGTGCAGTTAGCGAGCACCTATGAAGGCCGGAACGGTACACGAGGGGGTGGGTGGCCAGCACCACGCCCGACCGCCTTTGTCTCCCCAGTGGCGATGTTTACACACCGTACCAGGTACTCATTTGAGGCTGAGTCAACCTAGGGGATGCCCAGGACCGATTCAGATAAGCGTCACTGGTGTTGGCCGTGAGCGGGAATCGAACCCGGGTTGCCGGGTTCATAGCGCTAACCACAACACCACCGCTCCCTATACTCACACATATATATACAATATACACTACAATCATATCACGAATACGCAAGCATACATGCCGATTCATACAAACACGCAAGTTCATGTATTCTCAACTCGTATGTGCGTACTTACAATGATCACAGACATCTTCCGTATGTTTATGTTTGTATGTACAAAACAATATTTATAAATATCCCCCGTGTAGCCTCTAACAGACTGTTGGGGCAAGTGCTGTTTAGTAGAGTGTGGTACCTATGAATGCCGGCACGGCACACGAGGGGGTGGGTGGCTAGCACCACGCCCGGCCGCCTTTGTCTCCCTAGTGGCGATGTTTACACATTTAAGGCTGAGTCGACCTTGGGGATGCACAGGACCGCTTCACGTAACCGTCACTCGCGTTGGCCGCCAGCGGGAATCGAACTCGGGTCGCCGGGTTCGTAGCGCAACGAAATAATAAAGACAAAGATCTCCCGTATAGCCTTATCAGACTGTTGGGGCAAGTGCTGTTGGCGAGCACCTATGAAGGCCAGAACGGTACACGAGGGGGTGGGTGGTCACCACCACGCCCGACCGCCTTTGTCTCCCCTGGTGGCGATGTTTACACACCGCACCGGGTACTCGTTTGAGGCCGAGTCGACCTAGGGGAGAGCGCGTCCATAGCGAAGCGCGCTAACCGCTGCGCCACCGCTCACTCCCGGCAACAACCCCTGACTCACGCGTTAGACCCAGCGACAACAACATCAACAACATCATCAACAACAACAACAACAACAAAACCACCGACACATCCCGAGTGACCATCAATTTATTACGGCATCCCGTACTCGGAAGAATCCGACAAATATTTCGTTTAAAATTCCCGCACGGCCTGTTCACAAGGAAAGTTCACGAAGCGATGTTCGTCCGATCGCCGTCAGAAACCAGAGTTCGCAACCGGGTACCCGATACCCGTACCCTACCCGATACCCGGCTACCCGTACCCGGCCAGGTACGGGTACCCGTTTGCGACCCTGGTGCGGCCGGGTACGGGTACGGGTAGGCCGTGAGTCACTGGTGAGTAACCGTTTGTCACTCATTTCGGGTAGGGTACGGGTACGGGTAGGGAACGGCTACCCGTACCCAGCCGGGTACGCGTACGGGTACCCATTTGCGACCCTGGTGCGGCCGGGTACGGGTACGGGTAAGGAATCAAAACCCGTTTGCGACCTCTGTTAGAAACCCACCCCAAGCGGTCATTAGTGGCGCGCGTGTAACCTGCGTTTGACGCTTTCACGGGGGGTGTTGTTACACGTGGGGGTGACACGTGTTGCAGGGCTGCGCCTCTATCTATTGCTCAGATTCACGATGAAGGTGGTGGTGGTGATGGTGGTGGTGATGGTGATGGTGGTAGTGGTGGTGATGGTAGTGGTGATGGTGGTGGTGGTGATGGTGGTGGTGGTGATGGTGGTGGTGATGGTGGTGGTGGTGGTGGTGATGGTGGTGGTGATGGTGGTGATGGTGGTGGTGGTGATGGTGGTGGTGGTGATGGTGGTGGTGGTGATGGTGGTGGTGATGGGTCCGCGTAGGCGGCTTCGTCGCTGCGATCGCCCCGATCGCCTTTGTCTCCAATGGACTGCGAGGGTTCGACTCTTGCAGATGCAACCATCATTGCAACATGCGGTACTCTGCTGTTGTTGTTGTTTTTTTCCGGCTGAGTCGACCTAGGCGCACGATTCGATGATTGACTGAGCTTGTGGGGCACAGACAAACGAACGTCAACACGCGCAAAGACAAAGATCCCCCGTATAGCCTCAACGGACTGTTGGGGCAAGTGCTGTTAGCGAGTAGCACCTACGAAGGCTGGAACTGGAACACGAGGGGGTGGGTGGTCAGCACCACGCCCGGCCGCCTTTGTCTCCCCAGTGCAGAGATGTATACACTCCGTACCAGGTACTTATTTGAGGCTGAGTCGTCCTAGGGGAGAGCCAGGACCGGTTCAGTTAATCGCCACTGTGTGTTGGCGGCCGTGAGCGGGAATCGAACTCGGGTCGCCGGGTTCGTAACGCAGCGTGCTCTACAGATACAGACACTTAAGGACACATCATGATATACACAACGAGATATACATATAAGACACACACGCGCGCAGACATACACAGACACACACCAACAACAACCGCCATTCACCACTAAGTGGCGGTGATGTAGCCACTGCACTTGTGCCAGGCTAAGTGCACATTGAGGCCACGTGAAAGTTTCGAAAAGCTCTCTGCTTGCAGGAGGTCACGGGACAGACCCAGATGCCATAGGTTGACTGACTGAAATGACTGGCAGTTGCACCACCTGTGCCAACTTGCTGCGTTTTATCCACCGGCGCTCTCCTTTCGTTGTTGTGAGCGTCGCTCTTCCGCCCTCTGTTGTTACCGGAGGGTGACTGCCTCCAACTGCCCAGCAGCGTCCTTCACGAGCCTCCTCCGCAGAGCACGATCTTTACACCGCCGGTGTTTTCTGTACATCGGAAGCCACCATCTCTTCTCGGGCCCGTGCCGCGCCCGTTTAGCCCCCATCTATCCGGACAAACAGAAACTGATTGGCCATGCATTGACTGCGTCTGCGGGCTCCATGACCCAGCTAATGCGGCCTCGCCTTCCGATGATGAGACCATGTCCAGATCTTCCAATGATCTGTGATCTCCACACACAATCCGGTGTGGTTAAACCCGAGATGGATCGGAGGCAACCCAGCCTGGATGTTTCAAACCGGCGGAGATGTTCCTTTGAAAGGGCTCCACGTTTCGCAAGCAGAGAGAAGTGAGGTCAATGACTGTGGCCGAGAAGACCCGAGCTTCGTGCGGAGCGACAGGCCAGGTAGCTTCCACGCAGCAGCGTTACGCATCCGATGAAGAGATAATGCCGCTCGACTGATTAGGAGTGAGACCTCCGCTGCCAATACCGGAACCTTTGGAAACACCCAACCAACATACACACAGCCACATGCAAACACACACACGCACACACACACACGCACACACACGAACGCACACACACATATACACGTGTACACAAATTCACACACACAAGTACACACACACAAGTACAAACACGTGTACACACACAAGTACACATACATACATACACGTGTACACACATTCACACAAGTACACACACTTACACATGTACACAAATTCACACACGCAAGTATACACACACAAGTACACAC